TCTCTCCTGTTGTTTTGTGTCTTTGTGGTGGTTTTGTGTCTCTTTGGTGTTTTGTGTCTCTGTGGTGGTTTTGTGTCTCTTTGTGTTGTTTTGTGTCTTTGTGGTGGTTTTGTGTCTCTTTGTGTTGTTTTGTGTCTCTTTGTGGTGGTTTTGTGTCTCTTTGTGTTGTTTTGTGTCTTTGTGTTGTTTTGTGTCTCTTTTGTGGAGGTTTTGTGTCTTTGTGGTGGTTTTGTGTCTCTTTATGGTGGTTTTGTGTCTCTCCTGTTGTTTTGTGTCTTTGTGGTGGTTTTGTGTCTCTTTGTTGTTTTGTGTCTTTGTGGTGGTTTTGTGTCTCTTTGTGTTGTTTTGTGTCTTTGTGGTGGTTTTGTGTCTCTTTGTTGTTTTGTGTCTTTGTGGTGGTTTTGTGTCTCTTTGTGTTGTTTTGTGTCTTTGTGGTGGTTTTGTGTCTCTTTGTGTTGTTTTGTGTCTTCGTGGTAGTTTTGTGTCTCTTTGTGTTGTTTTGTGTCTTTGTGGTGGTTTTGTGTCTCTTTATGGTGGTTTTGTGTCTCTCCTGTTGTTTTGTGTCTTTGTGGTGGTTTTGTGTCTTTGTGGTGGTTTAGCGTCTCTTTGTGGTGGTTTTGTGTCTCTTTATGTTGTTTTGTGTCTCTCCTGTTGTTTTGTGTCTTTGTGGTGATTTTGCGTCTCTTTGTGGTGGTTTTGTGTCTCTTTGTTGTTTTGTGTCTTTGTGGTGGTTTAGCGTCTTCTTTGTGGTGGTTTTGTGTGTCTTTATGGTGGTTTTGTGTCTCTCCTGTTGTTTTGTGTCTTTGTGGTGGTTTTGCGTCTCTTTGTTGTTTTGTGTCTTTGTGGTGGTTAAGTGTCTCTTTGTTGTTTTTGTGTCTTTGTGGTGGTTAAGTGTCTCTTTGTTTGGGTTTTGCATTACTGTGGTAAGAAATTTAAAGAGAAAAGAGGAAGTGTGTGTGTGTGTGTGTGTGTGTTTGTGTGATGTTTTATAGCTCATGTATTTATAAAGCAGAACAAATTCACAAATTTACGAGTGCATTTACCAGCACGGCGTTCTCACACTCTCATCTACAGTTTGTTCACAGCTCATTAAAGGAACGCCAGCCGTCATACCACCGTAAAATCCTGCTGTATATCCCCACCCCCACCATTAAGACAGAAACTCTGACTCAGCTGACCTAAACTAAGAAATAAACTGCCAACCTGCTCATACTCCTAACTCTAATGAAAATCCTTAAATCAATACCACCTTAAAACTGATGACATCTTAAAATTCCACAATGCAAACTTCACAACTCTGTGACACCACCTTAACAGAACAGTAAAGCCCTCAAAACCCTATTCCTTCCACCTTAACTTAGAAATACTGAATTTAATTTGCTCTTACCACCTTTAAAGAAACACAAAGTTCCGAGGTCCCCATAGAACACCAACAGTACCACTTTAACTGACGAAACACCAAACAACAACCTGCTCTTGCCCCCTTAACTGTCAAACACAAACCCTCCCATACCACCTTAACAGAGAAATGAAGACATTAGTCAACGTGGGTTTTTTGTGGAAGTATTGACGCAGGTTCAGTGAACGTCTCCTCGGTGATGTGTTCAGGGTTTAGATTTGAACCCTGGAAACTTTACATCCAGATGTCTCGGAGCTAAAAGGAGTGCATACGTTTGTTTTGTCTCTACAGGAAGCTGGCAAAGAAGAGGAAGGAAACTCTGAGCTCCAGACAGGAAATGACTCTGATGGTCAACAACTCCCAACATACAACCATGGTGGACACACACACGCACACACTAAACGGACGCAGTGAGTATACACACAAACACACGTAAACAAACCTTGTGTTAGATTTGATTTACAGAGACGTGATTATCTGACAGACGAGACGAGAAGAGTGAAATACAAGAGATAAGAAAAGACGGGACACAAATTGATGAAGCTGAGACAAGGGACACATGAACTGTCTCATAAAGACAAAAGATGAGATGAAACGAAAATGAAAGTCAGCGTGAGAGAGGAGAAAGAAAAGCAACAAAAGAACGACAAAAAGAAGATGAGTCTAAAAGTAGACATGACATGAGATGATGAAATGACATGAGATGACGTGACATGACGTGACATGACATGACAAAATGACAAGAGATGACATGACATGAGATGACGAAATGACATGAGATGACATGACATGACATGAGATGACTAGATGACATGGGATGAGATGAAGGGGAGAGAAGATGAGACAGAGAATAAAGAGATAAGACATGACATAACAGGAGACGAGACAGTTAATATTCAACACAAAGACAGATGTGATAAAGACAACCAGCTGAGACGAGAAACAAAGGAAAGGATGAAATGAGACGAGATTAAAAATCAAATGACACAAAACCTGACATGTGAAAAAGAGATGAGAAAAAAGGACACAGTGGACAGACAGAGACAAAAGACAAATACAGGACGAGATGTGAGATGAGACAGAAACATGATGTGAGAACAGATTCCTGAGACAAAGAGACAAGATGAGATGAAAGAGAAGGAAAAAAGAGGATGTGACGTCCCTGTCCACATTTGTCCATCATTCAGAGATGTGGAATCAGAGACAGTCTGTGTTGTCCTCTGTTAACATGTTGAACACTGAGAAAAGACACAGACAATGTGCGGACGGAGGAGTGACTGCAGGTGATATGACCCAATGTTTTATCATGAGGTGACGGACTGTCAGAGACACAGCCGGAGGGACGAGAACGCTGATGATGGAGGTGCAGAGGACGGAGGAGACGACCTTCCCTCAGGCCATCGCCTCCTCTGAGCTCCTTCAGCCAACAGTCAGGGACAAAACTCTGCTTCTCCTTACTCTCACTTTAATATTCACCATCATCATCATCATCATCATCAACACCATCATCACCACCATCATCATCAGACCCAGAGATAATTCAAAAAACAAAAAACAAAGGTTTCAAAAATATTTTACAAAAAAAAAAAAAACCTCAAACAAATTGAAACACGGTGATTACAGAGGATCTGACACACGTCACGTCCTCACTGTGACCTCGTCACATGTCCACGTTTGGTCATCAACATATGACGTCCAAGGTACCCTGGTTGTGTTGGTTGTTGACGTTCTGGGACGCCGTGTCAACTTCAGCCTGTTACATGCATTGTCTGTTTTCAAAATACACTTCTGTTTTCACAAGAAATGTACAGTTTGCATACAGTCTCTTTCAAAATAAAAGCACTACGTCGGTACAACACCACCAACTGATGTTTTTTTCCTTCAACAACACACACACGTGGTTACGTTTAGCCAACACACACATGTGGTTACGTTTAGCCAACACACACATGTGGTTACGTTTAGCCAACACACACACATGGTTACATTTAGCCAACACACACACGTGTGGTTACGTTTAGCCAACACACACATGTGGTTACGTTTAGCCAACACACACATGTGGTTACGTTTAGCCAACACACACACACATGGTTACATTTAGCCAACACACACACGTGTGGTTACGTTTAGCCAACACACACATGTGGTTACGTTTAGCCAACACACAC